GGAATGTTAGTATTAGAAGCTTGGAGTAGTAGTGAAAATGGCTAAGATCCAAGGCAAGAAAAAGGAAAAATAGAAACATCCCATATCTGTTCACCTTCCCCTCGGCTTTGGACTGGAGCCGGCGGAGCTTCGGTCTTCTTCGCTTTGGTCGGCACGCTGGAGCCGTCGTTGGCCTTCTTGGCCTTTGCCTTCACATGGGAAGCAGCGGGAAGGAAGCGCGCTAGGATGCGCTCTGAAATCAATCACAAGAGCAAACCTCATTGCAATGACGTTCCGTGCCCAAAATATGTTAAAATGAACTATATAAACAATATACTCTAAAATGATAGCAACGTTGCCATATAGTGTTTGTTTGTTCAATATGTTTTCCCCCATGATCATGTAATTCATGAATGATATGATGATAGTCCTCAAGGAACGCATCCTTCGCATCGGTGGCCCGGTGTGTTCGCGATGGACTCAGGCTGCAGCCGGCGCGAGACTCGCTGCTGGTGGGGCAGCTCGCTTTTTCACCTGTCCGGCGTGGGCGTCGCGGCCAACGAATCTAAACCACTCAATCAAGTGGCCCAAGAAGGATCAAGGTGGTAGGTGCTACCTGATCCAAGGCATGCGTGTTCGATCGGAATATCTGCACCAAGTCACCCAAGACAGAATTGGGCGGTGCTTTTATGCGGATCCAATTCGTGGAAGTAGGACTCTATCCTTCGAGTGTGGTAGCCTTCGATCTTCTCAACATGCTGTCGACAGTCGGACTGACCCCCTCCAAAAAAAAAAGGAAAGCAACAAGTTTTCCACGGCCTTTGTCTCTTTTTGCACTGCCTGGCACAGAAAGCCATGAGTCAATTCTGCCCATCTTAGCATGCTTGGCCCCGGGTCGCCACCCCCGCCCCTCGGCGCGAGTGGCTCGACCAAACGAGGGGTCGCGACTCGCGAAAAGCGCACAGTAGGGCGAAGATCGCCAGCCGTCAGGGCGAACAGGTTTGGTGAAATGGGAATCGGAGCAAATCTGGCTCTTACCTGAGAAGGGGGGGATGAAAGCCAAGCCAAGCCTATCGCCTGGCTTTCGAAATAACATCGTACAAATTCATACTTTGGTGTCTGGATATGTTTGGTGTCTGGGGGTGTCTGGTGTCTCGTGTCTGGAGACCCAAGTATCTCAAAGCGTTTTTCAGTGCCAACCCCTGCGACATCGGGCCTTCTTTGGCGATGCAGCTTTCGGCCTGCCCGTGCTGCGTGTGCCAGCGACCGTTTGGGAGGCCCGAACTGCGGACGTGGTTCGGCCCGGTGACGACCCGGCGTTTCGTGCGTCCGGTCCGGCCTCTTCGTCACCTTTGCTGGTGTCACCTGGTGTCACAAGCCAGCAAGAAAAATGAACAAATTATAAAACTACTTCACTTCGAGTGATCCGAAATCCATGACATTTCAATCATTGGTTTTCATGGCGGGGAGCGGCTTACATCAAGCAGTACAAACAGTACAAGCAGTACAGTCCTCTTACGCACTGTCCAAGGCATGCCACGCCACGCGCAGTCCTACCGCGCGCGGGGCGCCGTGGCGTCCCCCCACCACGGCCAGCACGGGCGAGGTCGGGCTCCGCGAGTCTGGGCTGCTACTCCTCGCAGAGCAGATGAGTGGAGGGGAGGTTGGAGGTGTCCCGGCAGCATGGGTTGCGGTTGAAGGGGTGGGGACTGGCTAAAGGACGGGCCAAGAAAAAGGAGTGGGGACCGGTTTACAAGATGCAGAGGATTCACTGTGTTCAAGACCACTACTGTGGGGATCAGAGTGAACATACTTTACTTGTTGGAATGTTCAAGACAGGTTTGGACCAGGATTTGCTCTTCTATCTGTTTTGGGGGTCCTATAAATGTAATATAGATAATATATATATATATACGTATATAGAAGCTTTGTGGGTTGAAGTGGATCTGCCGACAGGCTCCCACACAGGTCTCTAGCTTAAAGGGCTCACAGGTGCTCCTGTTCATGTTCGGCCGGTGATGTTCACTGCGCTCAGGCCATTCATTGGTGCAGAACCCTTATACCCCCTAGTGATCCACGAATCATCAATTTGTTGTTTGCAACTCACCCCCTTTGTCTTCCCCCTTTCTCTTCCCTCCGTCCAGAAGAAGAAGAAGGCATCCATCAAATTCTTGTTGATTTCTCTTGCCTTATATATAATATAGTATTATAATGTATTATTATGTATTATATAGTACCATCATTTACCATCACACCCCCACAGGTTTTCTCCACTCCTGCTATCGCTGGAGGAGTCAGACTCGCTCTCCGCGGGCTGTCGACCTGCCGGTGAATTGGATGTCCTTGCCTTTGGTGGAAGAAGAGGTGTGCATAAATAGGGAGGATGGGCCACATATTTGGCCCAAGATGCATCCAGTCATATCCAGTCCCTGTCTCAAGAGAATGTGCCTCCTCCGAAACACTCCCCCCCCCCCCCGGGCAGTTGGAGACACTCGGAGCCAGATCCGGGAGTCAGATCCGGGCAGTGGCGGTTTCAGTCTGCTGCAGAACACGAAGGAGCCAGATCTCGCCCGGCCTTTCTTTGAAGTGTTCGTCGAGCCTTTTCGGAGCAGTGGAAATGAATAGAAGACCAATGGTCAGGTGGGTTGGGATGGACCCCTAAGAGGGAACCCCAATACGTATTCATGTCAACGGTCAACCTGAGGTTGACCTGAATGTTTGATACTCTACGTGAGGGTTTGCTATTTGCCATCATACCTGCAAACAAGCATGAGTTTGCATCTTCTGCCAACGCAAATGCCCAGTTGATCTGCAAAGGGAACAAAAAGGGAGATTCCAACATTCTGAGGAGCGAGCTTTGCTTCACTCGTACTGAAACCTTTGGAGCCTGTGCATGACACAGTCGTATCGTCGGCGGCCATGTCGGCTGGTTACATCACTGGGCCTTCTCAGGAACGAGAGGTTTTTGCGGCTTCTCCTGGAGTTAGTGAAACTGAAAGCCAACAGGAACACGCTCTGCTTCATGTTTCTTGGCGGTTCAATTGAACTCGAGAAAATGACTAATCAAACAGCTAGGGTAGCTGGGGCGCGCAAGCGCGCGCGCGTGCCTGCTTCTCCACCTGGCTTCTCGCGATGTGAACGACACTCACCCGCTGCGCATGTACAACTTTACTACTCAAGGAGCATTCTGAGAGTCTGCAGTAGCATCAAAGCTGCAACAAAAACATCAGGCATGCCTGCACGTCGGCGCGCTCTGTGTTAGAGCCTCCGACAGAGTTGAATGATGTTGAATGGGAAGATCACCTTAACACATCTGGTTGAGACTCATCACGTCGTGGCCCACAGCGCTGTCGGAACCGATCGCCGGCCCGCTCCTAGGCGTGGAGTATCTGTACGGCCATGTCCAAGCCATTCCAAAAGGCGGCCTCGAGGTTCGTGGTTTTTGTGGCGTGTGCGCCGCTCAAACATGCGAAGCAAGCGAAACTGAAGTGAAAGATGGAGGAAATGGTGCTGAAGTGGTGATGTCGGGAGCTTCAACCCCTCCATGTGCGCATGTCTCTATAGAAATCTACTGGGAACCTGCCAGTGGGACCTGATTTGGGAAGGTAGATGAACAAGTCCACTAGTCCAATGGGGCTCAGATGGTTGCAGAATCTTCAAACCATCCCATGTATAGCTCTTTCCACTGCTGTCCACTGCCTGCTGTACCGCCAGGAATGGGAGCTGGTTTTGCTCGAGCAACTTTGGCGGTTGGCTTCACAGCAGCACGACCTTGGGTCGGGAAGCTTCGCGGTGCTTGGCGGTTGGCGCAGAAGTCACCAAAGAGGGCCTTCTTTGGAGGTGTTGGGTGGCTTACCTAACCATGTATCAGAACAAAGCACGCTTATCATCATACCTTCTGCTCTTCTGGGGCCATCTTGTCTCTTGTTCTTCTTTCACCGCTGCCCCTCCCTCTCGCTCGGTGCTCCAACCTCGCTCGGCCGCAGCCTGGCCAGTGTCAGACTCAACAAACAGTCTCTGGACAGAGTGATTGATGTTCCCCCATGGTTTGGAGAGATCCCGCAGGATCAAACTTGGACGAAACCTGAACCACTGCTGGGAGTTAACCACGAAAAACTGGGTGACCTTGTGTTTGCGCGAGTAAAAAACCTGAACCACAGCTGGTGACTTCATGTGACTTGGCACTTTCAGGATCCACAAACCTCCCACCGGTGGGCCCCGCCTGCTGAGCTTTCACCAACACGACCTTGCGTTTCTTCTTCGCACGTTCTGGGCTGGCAGAACGCTTGTTGCCTGGACAACGTGAAACCGGTGAGCGGAGCCATTGATGGCACCAGGACCTTTGAGTATGGCTTAATGTCCTTCCAAGCCAACCACGACCTCTCCAATTCATGGGGTTGCGTGCTCCGAGCTTCACACGAGCCATCCGGAGGCAGTTGCCAAACCGGAGGAAACTGAGCCCACGCGGCCCAAGCCAGAACAGCTGCAGCACGACGCATCTCGCCTCACACAAAGCAACAACTCCGCCAAAGGTACTGTACTAGGAACACCAAAATCCATGACTTTCCGCTGTTTGAGACAATCATATTCGATGAACTTGTGGTTATCAGGCCATTTGCGCTCTACCCTTGACCTAGCGAAATCGTTAAGCGCAGCGTCAGCTTGGAAGACCATATTTGTTTACTTTGTTGGAACTCCACTGTGCCAGGTAGCAACAAGATGTTTGCAATAAAACGGTTTCTTTCAAAAGGCCATCAATGATCAGACCAGCTCCACCGGATGATTCCACATAAGTTGGAGCTAATGTATGTAAGCTTGCAAACGATAATTCAGCAATGGCGCAGGTTTTCCTTCGCTAGGGATCGTCTGTTTGCAGCAGCTTTTGCCAGGCTGCATCTGCCAAAAGACTGTTGGCCTCCAGCCAACACGAAAAATAATGGCGCACTGAGAGACTGCCAAGTTTTGCGCGCGCTGTGCGCTGCGCTGGCTGTGCGGCTGATCATGTAGGGGGGGTTGGCTGATGTGAATCTGCTTGGAAGTCTCTCAGAAGTTGTCAACAAGAGTTTGTACAAGTCTCGGAAGTGCTGAAATGCTGGGCAAGGCCAGCAGATCTAAGCTATTCTGTGGCATTCCTGCCACGAATCCAGGGTCCAAAATTCGCCTCCCTGTCTTTCTACACTCCACTTCTCATAGAGGGCATCGATGAACATCAATGCCTCGCAAATCATGTCGCGGAAGTCACATCTTCGTTGTCATGTTCATGCCGCTGCTGCCATCGATTGGGCGTCGAGTCGATCGGAAGCCAGCCTGCTGGAGGTTCACTAGCAGAGTTAATTGAGATTCCAGAGCTTTCCTGCGCCACGTGGGCCGCGTGTCCGAGCTGAGACGTGCGGCACGAAGCAGCTGACGAAGCAACATCATCTGTGGAGGGGGGGGCATCTCTGCATGTTTTGGAAAAGGGAGAGACCTCTCCCTTTGCAGCCTTTTCCCTCCCCCAAAAAGAACTCAGCAGGTCTTACGGACCTCATGTCACTGGGTCTGGTCATACAAAAGCAGTACTCAATGGGATTAGGGACCAGGTTTTACTTGTTCCTTGGACTGGTAGGGAAAAGTCCTTGGTTACTCGGCACAGGGTCCCTGAAGAGATCCTCCCACACATAGACGGATACGGCCCGAGGCTTTTTGAGTTGAGTGGGGAATCTCCGTCCTTCCAAGTCCCTGGGATCAAAACACTTAACTGTGACCTCAATAAGACCTCTCCAACGAAATGGGTCACCGCGGTCACCGGTCATGACCAGTACCACCTGCTCGGTCCCGGACTGAAAAGCAACATGAAATGAATGGATCAACGACGGGTGGAGTGCAAGTTGAGTAGTAAACACCTTGCTCGCCACGTTCGCGGTCCTTCGTAGGAAGTAGCCGGCCGTCGCACCACCGGAGCTGGCACGTTGCTCTCGCCGGAGTGCAGTCAAAAACAGACCATCTGCTGGGTGCTTTGGAGTCGTAGCAGAATCGGCCCGTTGGCTGGAGTTTGTCAACTAGACTATACCCCCTGCAAGTCCCAGACCCAGACCATTTTTCAAAAGGGTCCACCTAGGTCACCCGAAACGGAAGGTCTTTGACTTCGGGGCCCGGGGACAGCACCCAGCTCAAGTCGGACTCCACCAAGGCACCGAGGCACCGATTCGGCCAAGGCCGCGAAGCCGGCGGCCAGGGGTGTAAGGTCCAAAGTCTGAGAGGTCCAAAATGGATTGGTCATGAATGGACCAAAGTCTGAGACTTTCTCATGGTCCACCTCCAGAAGTCTGACAGGTCTCGTGAATGGTCCATTTGGGACCTCTCGTGATCGCTCGCTTCATGCTCCAAAATCTGTGCAAAAACAAATTTGGGGGGGAATGGTCATGAATGGTCCAAACAAAATCGCGTCTCCATGGGAATGGTCCAAAACGTTAGAAACAGTTCCATCCATCACGTGAGGTGGAGATGGGGAAAGACGCAAAAAAGACCTGGAAGGACGTCCAGATCTGAAAGTCCATTCATGTTTGCCAACATGGTATATCGTCCTTCTACCAACAGTCACAAGCATCCCACAGTCACTGACATCCGAGGAAAGCAGTCTTCGAAAGATCTACCCCACAGAAATCCAGGAAAAAAGAAGCGATCAATCTGTCAATCCTGGTCTAAACCTCTGTTGGTTTCATCCTGATGTTGAGAATGAAGCTGCAGGCGCACTTAATAATTGTTGGATAGCAAAAGAACATCCATCCCAGCTCCAAAGGCCGTCGAGAGCGGGGCAAAATCGTGGCCGGTTTGAACTCTGCCGTGGCTGAATGGTGTATCCAACAATGGCTCCCTTGCCCTACCTTGCTTCTTGGGTGTTTGCCTTCCCAAAACAGGCCAGAGGGACTCTCTTGAGGAAGGCGTGCAAATGACAATGCCGATGGACTTGTCCTGCACTTTCGGCATTTCAACAAAAACATCCACAGACATGGTTCGGCGCACGCACCGAATCAAAATGAAATGGGTGTGTTCAAAAGAAAATTCACATGGCCACCCCTTTTGATCATGCCTTTGTCTGTTGAACCATCCAAAAATACAGTAGATCAGTAGATCCAACAACCCTGGACCCTGAAACTCTTGAGATTTGGGGGTCTTCCCCAATCGCCCCGTCGCTCACCAGTCCAGTCGCGAAGCAGCGCTGTCGGTACAACATCGTTCCCCAGACTCAGTCCGCCATCGCTGAGATCACGTTTGGTTTCTTCTGCGTGACCTCGCTCCGCGGCATCGTGGAGACTTGCCCACGACGGCGTTGCTCGGGGGTCTCAGATCTAGGCATTTCTAGAAAAGCCCTACAGTACTTATACAGTAGATTACAGTAGTATTTATAGAGTGGTCAGAAAAGGATCTTAGCTCCAGCCCCTTTTTTGGGACTTCTGATCACACTTTCCCAAGGCCAGGACTGCATTTGCCAGTGTGCTGACGTTGATGCTGGCTCCCTTCCGCTTGGGTGCGTTAGCCTGTCGCGTCCAAGGTCCAGCCAATGGTGGAGCGAAATTCCGGGTAACCCCTACTTGTCCTATTCCACCACAACAAATTAGATGCAATCATGATGAATCTCAGTTGAAAGGTCAAATCCCAAGTGATTGGCTGTTCTCTCAAAAGACACCAGCCACCAGCACTCCAGCAGTGCCTCTATGAATGAGGCTGTCCCAGTGGTTCCATAGATCCTTAGCACATCCGGTGAAAGAAATCCGGCGTCGCTGCGAAATTGACAGCGGCGGCTGGCAAACATGAGCATGTATCGGGTGCAATCCATCCAGGATAAATCAAATAGTTATCGCACTAAAGACGATTTCTTGTGCAGTAGGTAATCCCTCCTTTTTGAGACAACCCATGTTCTGCTCGGAAACAACCGATCAACGGGGCGCCCTACTTGTACCCCATCTCATCCAAGAAGGGCAGGTACTTCAAAATGGTCTTCTTGTCCTCCTGCAGTAGCAGCTGTATGACTGTGTGGTGAGTCGTGGCAGGAGTTGCACATCAATCATGAGACTGTGCTGATGTTTTGCCACTCAAAGATTTCTGGCTCGGGCCTGTGAGCCCAAGGACAACAGGATCCTGGCTCAGTCACTCTTGAAGCACCGAAAATCATTCACGAGTTCTGCTGACCAATGCCATCAGTTTGTTTCACTAACGAAATGACCATCAAATGAGCGGAGGGTCAAAACCTGGTACGGTAGCTAGTATATGTACCACAATTCCTGCTCAATATCCTGTTCCGAAACTGGGTTTGGACTCCCTAAATACGTGCCAGGGAGCACCCACAAGGCTCGAAGAAGACCTTGACACCACTCGCGATCAACGCCTTGAGGAATGCCTCTGGAGTAATTGGCCAGCATGGCTGATGAATCATGGGATGCATCGAGTGATCTGGTTTTGTAGTGTAAAACCCTTAGGTAAAACAATGGTGCTTCGACTTCTAGGGACAAGAGAAAGTGTCACAGCTAGGACCGGCTTCCGGATGTTGTTTTTCTCCTCGTAATCTCTCCTTTGAAGGTCGACAAACTCCTCGCCAGTTTGCCTGTGTTCATCTTCATTGCCTTTGCCCGCGACTCTTGCAACCAACATCATTATTGTCATCACCATTGCATTTGCGGCCCCCAAGGTAAGGTGCGATAGAAATGCAAGGATATCCCAGAAAAGGATACAAACAACATTGATCAGTGGCAAGAAAGTGTGATGTGGTACGGACATCTCTTTGTGGCAAACACCAGTGCGCCGTACGCCTCATTGGCATTCTGCCCAAAGCATGCCACCTGAAGCACTGCGCTGCAGAAGCCACAGGCAAAAAGGTGAGAAACGATGACATGTGACATGTCCTATTTCCCATGAGAAACATCTCTCTTCTTGCAATCATTCCATGAATATCTATGAATTACAACTCAATGGACCTCAGTTGCAGCCCCTCTCGTTGATCTCGCTCATCTCAGAAACAAACCAGTCAGCTTCACCGCCTCCGTCTAGCTGCTCGGTAGCTCCCCGTCTTCACCCGTCCTTCCGGACGAACCACCCAGCCACCCCGCTGAAAGCAGAACACGCCTCGCCGGTGCTCTGCATCTCGACGCCCACGTGCGGATCCGATCCACTGAGCCGTTGGAAGGAAAACATGGGAGCCTCGCGGAGATCCGAGACCCCGAGCCGCCGAGCGACCCGAGCGACCGAGACCGAGCTAAGCCGCGGGGAAAGGCAAGGACGGACCCCGGAAACAGACCTTCTCCCAAAAGGGGAGAGCCAAACGACCTGGTTTTCCGCAAGGGTCACTGAACTTCCGGACCCGAAGCAAATTTGTATGGGTTTTCAGGGACCGGGAAAGGCCTCGTGGGAGCCCTTGGTGGAGCGGATTGGGTGGCGAGGATTGGGTGGCAATTGCCCGGCGAAGAGGGGAAGACAGAAAAACCCGGGAGGTGTGGGTGACCTGTTGGAGGTGAGCTATAGAGCTATAGAATTCTATCGATCGAGTGAGTTGTCCCCTGGAAAAAACGTGTGTGATTCAATCGAGGTAAAGGGAAAGCTCGGATTCAGAACTTGGGAAAATGCGCCAAGGCCGGGTCATCGTCTCTGCGCTGGGTCCCCAAGTTTCCAGGTGTTGCCTCGCCTTGCAAGAGACAAACTGGAAATCATAGACATAGACGGGTGCAGGTCTGACGTCCTACCAAGCGCTGAATTGCAGTGCTGTCAGAAGCTGTCAGAACTGCGGTTTTTTGTGGAACACCCCCGGCCTGTCTGGACATGGTCTTGGCACAGGTGCTTTGTTGTTGTTTAATGTTTGTTCATTTGCGGGAGTTGTAAACAGATGTAAATGGTAAAGACCTGATCAACCCAGAGCTTGTGGGGAGGAAATTGAGAAGCAAAACAAATTGCCTTTCCTTGGCATCTGTCCTGCTTCAGCATAACACGAGTGGCAAGCTCAATGAAGTTCACATTCAGCGTCTTGGATACGAAGGGTACCTGGAAACGCTTTCGCAGTGTCCACCAAATAAACTGTCAGCAAGCCATTGAGGTCAACGTACATCACAAAATCACAAATGCGCGAAACAGTTTAGGAACCCCGCCTTGAACCTGCTGCTGTGCATACAAACTTGCTATCTGTTCAACAAAAACGGTCTGCCCTACTCGCTCCTTCGATCACCTGTGGAGACACCGGAATGCAAGAAGAACCAACACTGCAATTGGGCGGGTGGTCGTTTCCCCGCACTTGAGGACATCAAAGTTCGACCAAAACCGTGGGTGACTTGCTGAGTGTTTTCGGTGACTGGGCCCCTCCGTCTCGCTGAGAAACGCGATACGAAGGACCAAGTTGATCAAGTCCGGGATTTGGTGCAAAGCCGGGTCTGGGGCCCGCACGGTTCTGGAGGCTCTCACATTGCACTCGATGACTTTGAGCGTTCGCATGGAACTGCAGGAACCTTCCTGCCAGTGGAGCTATCCCATCACCAAGTGGTGGTAATATCTGGTCACATGTCCCGGCTGACTCTTGAAGCCGTGTCCGTTTTCGTGGTGGTCTGGTTTCGAACCTCTAACAGCCTGCTCATCTGAGGGGTCCCAAGTGTCCCAGCAGCTCCAGATCTAAAAAAAAGACGCATTTTCGGCGAAGAGAAAGTGAGAAGTCGGTGAGAAGCCGCCTGCGCCATGAACTGCACATTAAAGGGGCCCGAAATGTTGAGAGCTTTGCACCTTTCACAGAAGCATCCAATTCCAAAGTCGCTCAACATGGACATGGATGCAAAACGCGTGTCTCGAGGGCTCAAAAGGCACAGGCCATGAGGTTGTGAGAAATGGAAAGAGTGATCTAGCCGCCTGTCTTTAAACTGAGATTTCTTTCAATAATCCATCTTGACGCATGTTCAGCCACTTTGACACGAAGGCTGACTCATCGTATTTCTTCAACATCTCCATATCTCCTCCGGTCTGAGCTCTGGGCAACTGGGCAGCCACATGCATCACCCGGCGATGCGTTTCCAAGTAGAGACGCTGGGATGGGAGGAGCAACGTGGCATCGCCACTGTGAGTGCCAGCATCCTGATCACGGCGACCCACGCAGGAGGACCCACCAACCGGGCCGCCCGGATCCAGAACGACCAACGAGACGACCAACGAGACTGGCCCTGGCACTCTGAAACTCTGGGACCCGGCGAGTTTCAAATCCAATCAAAACAAATATATGACATGTACCTTCAGTCTATCCCATTTACATCCATTTACTAGTAACAGTGGATGATGATGCTTCAGTTGCAGGCCTTTCTCTAAAATACAGTATGTGTTGCATTATGTGGTGATATTGCATACCCACTGTTAAAGGACGTATAACGTATTACCGCAAGAAGGCATGGATCTCCCTGAATCTCCGCCTCCACGTGTTCGGAGATGGCATAGTTGAGGACTTGCCCATCGCGGCCAATGCCATCAAACTCGATCTCCCTGCGGTTCGGAGGGGAACGGCGACCCGTCGCCGAACGCATCCCTGGACGTTTCATTCGGAGGGGAACGGTTCCTGCATGTGGACCCAACGAAACTGGGTTGCCCACACGTGCCCAAATGGGCAGAGAACGATGGCCATTAGGAAAGAGTCGGTGAAAGAAGTGGTGGTGGCGAACGGCCCCATCCGCCTCGCACCCTCGACATACTTGGAAATCACCACTGGGAACTCCTGCTCCACCTGCGTGTTTCAGGCACGAACAGAAATACACAACATTCTGACTATGAAAGGCCAAACCGAGCATCTGCAAAGTTAAAGGTTGAATGAACAGCACTTTGCTTATCGTCCCTTAAGATGAGACTGGAACAAGTTCAAGCCAACCCTTCCTGGAATCTGCACGACTTGGGTCTGGTCATCTCTTGTAGACTTGATTCGGAGGCCAGACTGCAGCACAACATATCACCCATGAGCACTGTAATCAACTCTAAAGCTTGGTCACCCCGCAACAGCTGAAGTGCCCAGGAATGCTTTCAGTTGATCCTGGACACCAGCCGCTTTTGGAAAAGGCACTGTTCAGCCTCTCAATCACTCTTACGACGGAACACAATGTCAAAGCCTCAAAGAAGTCGTCGCCTAAAGCCATGCACGTCTTAAAACGACTGGGAAATTGGACTTCGACTCAACTTCCTCTCATGAGTCCAAGAATCTCTAGCCCGATTTCAAGACAAATCTCTCAACCCCCTCAGAGCCCAGAGCAATGACCCGGGCCTCAATGTCCAGCCCAGAACTCTAACTAAATTGGTGCAGGTCTTTTGCGTCTTCACATCGCTGTCGCTGTTTTCTCCACGTCCCCATTGTCGTTTCTTCCAGTCCATGGAGAACCGTCGTCCTCGTTGTCGATCACCCGCATTGCCGCGCCCGAGAGCACGTAGGAGGGCCGGACGAGCACCGGGAAGCCCACCATGTTCGCAAAGCTCAGCGCTTCCTGCCACGTGACGTGCGCTGGCGTCCCGAAGGTTTTCGCTGTCAAAGAGGGCACTACCCGTCACTATACCGTCACTACATGGCGTGGAAGATGGGGTGTGTTGCATAGCGGCGGGTCCACGGTGGCATCACTAAGGAACTGTGGAAGATCTTCAATTTCTGACATTTTCTGACCCCGACACGACAAGAGATACCTTACGACCGCCAAAAAAAGAACACGCAAAATTAATCACACGTCGTGTCTCTCTCTGGCGAACAATCCCAAGAAGGCAAAAATAGATAAAAATAGCAGAAGAACACACGAACGAACGAACGAACCAACGAACCGCGCTCGGCCCGAGCGACTCCGGGGCGCGCGAACCTCCAGCTTCACGAACTCCGACCATTCCGGTTGATCCACGCCCAGTTCGTCGCACATGGCCGAGAACTTCGAGCGATCCTTCCGGCGGGCAAAAGCGGGGAAACCGCGGGGAGGACCCGCCCAAACGGTACGGGTCTCATGGGTCAAACCGGTGAACAGCAGTTCGGGAGAGAACATTTTCCTGCATTCACAGCTCACTTTGTCTGCACAAAATTTGAGAGGCGCAAACTCAATGTTGTGTCTGCATCTGTGGGCACAGGTTCTTGCATTTCAGCCTTTTGCGAAGCTCTACACACTGCCTATTCCTACCTCCTACTCAAGGGCAAGATCTGCTTCAAAGTCCAAGCATCCTCTGCCCGGTCAATATTCTGTGCAGCCGTTCCAAGAATATTGATTCCCATCTTGTCCAGCTTCGGTGCCAAATTGTTCGGCCTGGCGCTTCAAGCCACCGCTGCACTTGGACGGGAACCGTTTGGAAGCGACGCACCCAGAACCGGGCGGGAACCAGTTTCAAGAAAGACTGGCCGGGCAAGCGTCTGACCGCCGACAGATACAATGGTACCTGCCAGGAGCAGGTTTGAAGCATCACAACATGCAAAAATATGCAAAACACATTTGAAAAAATGCACTAACTACTCCTGCAAATACTGAATATTGTTGCCTTTGCCCGACTTGCCCACTAGATTTGTAGGTGAACAACATTGAACAACACTCATATATGCATGTCATATATGCATGTCACAGAAAAAAGAAATGCATGTACAAAAGAGGCAGCCCTTTCATCTCAACTAATTACGCAACTCTTTCATCTCATGACTTCGGAGGCAGCCCAAACCCTTGCAAAATGGACCCAAACCGGGTGGGCCTGCTGGTTGCTCAAAATTGCAAATTTCCAAGACGGTCTCCAAGGTCAACTCCTGCGATGACTTCCGTCGCAGGTCACATCGCTCAGCTTGAGCCATGATCGGAAATGGGTGGCAAGTCCGGGGGTGACAGGGAGGACAATTCCCTGTCAGAGTGGTGGCAACAACGAGGCCAGTTTCTGGGTCCTGTGGGCATTGAATGGCATTCAGACAGTCAGAATTGGGGGGAGTCTTTTGGCCCGAGCAAAACTGCTGCACGTCACACGTTTCTGCGTTTACTGTGTCCTCGAAGTAGAGACGATCACTCTCATCATAGTCCGTGGACACAGTCTCTGGATTGCAATTGATCACCTGAGGGCACAAAGGAAAAAGTAGAAACAGGTGGTAAGCTAAGGCGCACATCTATCATATTCTATCCAGCCAAAATGAAACACCTGGCTGAAGTTGTTTGTTCTGGGACCAGTTGCCATGGCTCTGTGTCCAGTTTCTCGCAGGGTCCTGCGAGGCCAGAATCAAACAGGTGAGGTCCGCCCCCAAGATCCAATCCCAAACTGTGCCGGTTCAGAACGTCCTCTATCCTCTTTCTCATCATCACAAAGAATTGGTGGGTTTTGGACACTTGCTTAGGAGTGACAGCTTTCTCCCTTAAAGCGCGAACCACATCCAGCTTCGCAATAGTTACTGAGCCATGTCATTCTGTTGCCTCGCGACCGCTCCTTCATGCCTAGAGCGACCTGTTGTCTCACCAACTGGGGCTTAGACCTCAGCTCCAAACCTCCTCGTGACCCCCCAAAAATGCATCGAAAAACCTGCAAAGCCACGAAAACAAGAGGTAAAAGGAAGACACGCAAACTAAACCGTGCAAGGACCGTGCAAGACAGTATAAGAAAGTAAGATCGGCTCGAGCTCGACACCGAAACGCCGTTGGTCTTCTCGACCGCGTCCTGACGGCGCTCACGGAGCTCCAATCGAACTCCACGGAGGCGCCGATGCGATAGCACCCCGAGCCCAGCACCTGGGACGTGAACGGGACGTGAGCACGAAAGGACGGGGATTTTTGTTCAGCAGCGCAAAAAGGGAATAAGAGAGAGAGAGAGAGATGGGGTTTAGGGTTTAACTAATTAGTTGGGAGAGAAAGAGGAAGGTTTGACCTGAGAGGTTCTGGGACAAGAGAGGTTCTGGTTTGAATGGGAAAAGAGAGGTTCTGTTTCACCTGAGACGGATCTGGGTTCCCAGACGAAGCACAGAGAAAGATCGGTCGGGAAGAAGAAAAGGAACATGGCTTGGGCACGGAATCAAGAGACTCATGGGTATGCATCTCATTTGGAAAAGGATCAAAGATTTGCAGGGGGTCCCTACCTACCCTTCTTTACTTCAACCCGAAGATGGCGATGGTATACAGATCGAGACTTGTTCGATGGGCATGTCTGGCAAAATACCTTTCGCGGCGAAGCTCCAGGCATCGTCACGTCCCACCCGTGGGAGGGGGCCGATGTCTTCGTTCAACACGTACGTCGTACGTTGAAGCCAAGTTGCGATGAACGAAGGTTTTTGACCGTCTTCATTCAAATCAAATGCAGGCGGATCCTGCCAAGTGCGCTGCAGATTTCGAACACTCGGACGATGCGTGTGTGGGGCTGGAAATCGTAGTGAGGCAATGCAATCTATCTCCTCTGTGGCAGGCCTGAGACTTTAAAACCACTGCTCGTACACAATAGACGACAATGAGGAACAATGACGGAAATATATGATGCGGCTGAGCGGAGACCAAAAACCATGCCCATCTTCGTCACAAAATGGTCCGAAAACACCCAGCATGAGTTCTGTGTGACTGCATGTATCCTGGAAGCGTTCCTTCCGCCAAAGCCGGAACTTCGAGTCAACGCAACTGAGATCTACCCACGGATCTACCGTCGCACACGGCGGAGCCCCAACCGCACCGGGGCGGCACCGAGCCGGTCCGGGCTCACGGCTCCGGGGCGGCTGCGGCTCCGTCGGCGCGTCGCCTCCGCTTTGGCGCTCCGGTTCTTGGGGCTCCAAGAGGGCGACGTGGTGCTCCGCTGCAAGGGCGTCTTCTTGAAGGGGAGGCTGAAGGCACTTTCCTGGACGGCCACCCGGGGTGTCGCCCGGGCTGCGGGCGTCGTGTGGTTGGTGGTGAAAAAGCATCTCGAGTGGAGACTGCCCTTGGGGCAGCAGTAGTGTTTGATTTTTGTTAGCTCTTTTAGTGGCTAAACGTGTGGTGTTTTTTAACCACACAAACTCATGGACTCATGGATGATGTTTGATGATTATCATTACTAGTTGCTACTAATCGTGATCATTATTGTTCTCCTGTTATACTCATATTACATAATTTATATTATATATAATTATATATATATATGCATGATGTCTTACCGATATTTCTGTAGTGTAGAATTCTGATTGCCAAGACTGGTGACACAGGGTGTTCCAACTGCAAAAGTAGACCCTAGCTCCCCATGTGATTCCTGAATTGCTTGGGTTTCCAGAACTTCTGCAGTGCCTGTCCTCTTCAAGACGGCCTTTTCCAAAGGCGGTGTCATACAAGGAATCCTGTCCGATCACCCAGCGCTCAACCGTCTGCGAACAGAAGGGGCACAGGAGTCTGAAGACTGTGTGTCTGCTGGCACTTGCCTTCCTAAAGCACAAGGCGACCTGCAATCCAAATTGAACGTGGTGAACTCGGCATTTAAGGGCTTCAACATCTCAAAAAAAGAGGAGTCCGTATATAGAACAACATCCGACCACTTGGAATCGTGTCTGTGCAACCTACACGTGAGGCATGATCAGGCTCGATGCTCTCCGATGGCGCAAGCTGCAGCGCTCCTTGTGAGCTGCAAGCTTCTCGTTTCTCAGAGGGACTACGTCGTTCTGATCACCCACGTAGGTCAAGTACAAATAGTTCCTCAAAAAGACATGATCCTCCATGGTCAATGTATCCATCAATGGTCCCTCAAGATGCCAGTGTGACCCAGTTACAATTTTGCTGTATGACTAGCGCTCCAAATCACGAACCAAGTTGCTCCTAGTGTCCTTTGGGAACAAATCACTCGTATCCTGCCAATCGCTTCCAGAACCTGAAGACACAGACCTCGAGCGCGCTCCGCACGCTCCGCGCGCCACGCGGCCGAGGAACGTTTGCGCGGGGAACTCCGCTGCCAGAGTGTCGACCTGCTTCACGCATGGCCTGCACTGCACTGCTGCGTGGCAGAAACAAGAACCTCTCAGTTTTTCACACCGATCCTATCGAATAGAACATCCCAAGACAGGAATAGGCCGCTGGCGCCTGCACCGTGTTTTTTACACATCAGAAACATGCGACCAGATACGCTCTAAACCAGCGAGACACTACAGATCCAAGCCAATATACGAAGGCGCAGCTTCGACCTCCTCTTCTGGGGGTTCAATATGTTTCAATGAAGTTTGTGGGACACCCTGCAGGCAAAGACTTCCGACTTCCAGCCTCACATTCCAGCTGGCGCGCAGCTTCATGATGGAGATGTCCGTTTCCTTGACGCATTTCCCGATCTGCCTCGTAGAGGGCGGAACGAAGAGGTGCAAGACTGGCACCCAAGAACAACACACTCCCATCCCATGTGCACCACGGTCTCCTGAACCTGGCCTGTGTGGTGAATCGGTTTCATGAAACAGTCCCACAAACTCGCCACAGACACTCGTATAGAACCGAAATGGTTCAGTCCATCGCATCAGGTGCACATGCCTCAAATCCAGTGGTGTTTACCTCATGTCCACCAGGGTCTCGGCGTATTTTTCCAACTAAGAGCTTACAACATCTTACCGAAAGCCCTCCACTCACCGGTGACCTCTTCACCCCTTCCGCCCGGGCGAACACGCGTGTTCCGCGCGCACGAAGCGCGCGGCTTCGCGCGGCCCCGGCTCCGCCTGTCACAGAAGCCCAATTGCTTCACTCGCCGCAAGAACTCGGGACCGGCCTCAGGGGAACGGGTGGAGCGCGGTTTCGGCTGACCATGAAAAGGGTGCGGTTTCGGCTGACCATGGTGACCGGACCGGACCCGAGTCCAGTCTCCGAAGAGCACACATAGCACAGACCAAAAATGGCGTGCCGAAATCTGCGGTTTTCCATCAAGTCTCTCAAAGCATGTCACTTGCTACACTCTTCCCCTTCCATAGGCTTGTTTGATGGTCTGAACACCCATTCAACCCCGGGCCCCTTGGTTCGGTTTCTTTCTCTTCCCTGGTCTTCAAACCCTCTCATCTGACGACACCCACATCCCACGGCAAAGGCTTCCGGGTGTCCCAGTCTCGCCTTGGTCAAGGCGGCAAGGCTGCCCATGCCCTCCATGCGTTTTCGCGCTTGATGAACCTCAGCACTGCGCCAGACAGAGGGCCTTTTCCCTTTGCCCGAGCGGCTGGGTGGTGCGCGGGAGGCGGGAGGGTCCCCATTTTCGATGAGATGCGGATCTGGGGTCTCCAGCTCGTACAAGTATATGCTCAAATTATGCTGGTTTCACTATCTTTACTAACCCTGTTTTTGTTGTTTTTCTTGTGATTTCATCTGCCCAAAAATGGTGTGCAAGCCATGCTCCAAATCCATGCATCTCAACTGTCTCAGTCGTCTCCCAAAAGTGTGGTCCCTCCCCCTGCCTCCGATCCAACCCATCACCGCTTCTGTCGCCTCTGTGGCCCCCAGGCACAGAAGAGCTTGCCCAAGAACCAGCGGTCAATGCGTGTGATCGCATAGACCTGGAGAGAAAAAGAACGATTCTCCGCGCATATGCACCCGCGGTTTGCATGCCCCGCCGCGGGAAGGGCCATCCTTTGAAGGTCAAGGACTTGGGGCAGGGTGCCGAATTCCTTTGTCGACTGAAGCTCAGTGCTTCACAAAAAGCAGCACACCGCTGGAGGTCTTCGGTGGGTGGATAGCTTGGATGAGTTGGCCCCAAGAATTCCAGACTTTAGTCCAACTATATAAGTGTAGTTGCAAACGTGTCCAAAAAGGGACCCCCTGTCACCCTTCCAGTTAGGGATGGTCTGCTTTCTATGGGGAAAAAACGTCGGCACCTAAACCAACGAAATCAGATTCGGTCACCGCCTGTCACCTTTTGTCACCTTTACATGTCTATATTTGTATTATATACCCGTTCGCCTTCAGGTCGACCATTAAAAAGAATGGTAACGACGTGGTGGCATAGTGGAAATCCTTGGTAGGATAATGGTTCTTTGGGGTTCAGACCATTAAAGACTGACCAGAGTTCTTCGAATCCGGATCCGCCCGTGCCCGGCGACAACGGATCTCCGACCTTCTCGACGCTGTAGCCAACCTCGAAGGCATGGGCGATGGCCCACATTCGAAGCCTGGCACACGCAGGACGTGGTGGACGTGCCGCAAGAAGTGGACGCGCCCTTCGACCTTCGATTCCGTTCGGGAAAAAAAAAGGGACCGTGCCCGAGAATCGAACCGCCAGGAAAGATGCTGGTCAAAAAAATATGTTGATGTTGTTGTATTACACTGTAAACACTCATGACAAGCAAGTGTAAGTAGAAATGAACAAGCCAAGACCAAGTTCCTCGGTCGACCTGGCTCCCACTCCACCCTCTTATATATATATATATAAAGGCTCATCTGCAACAACCTGCATCCACTCATTCCCTGCGCACACATATACACCTGTCAGTCTAGTTTCTGCAATCAGAACACCCACAGAACACGGCTTAAGAAGATCTTTTTAGCGATTAAAACCGAAATGCTTCTTTCAACATCTTTCAACTGCATTGCAATGATGTGGGCGCTTGGGAATCATAGAGGGGTCGGGTGCCAGGCACCCTATACCCATTGGCTGTACACGCTTGGGGGGGTCTCCAGGTCTTCCCACCCACCAACCAACCAATGCCGCATGGGTCCAGGACGCCGGACGGTCCGGGACATCGCAACTCCTCCTCGATATTGTTGTCTTTGGAGGTTCCCGCGGAGGTTCGCGCACGCAGGTACCTGCGTGTTTCCACGAAGAAGACGAGGGGAGAGGGCGGAGTTGGAAGTTTGGACCATGCACTTGGTTAAGGCAAGGCAGACCTTGAGGCAACTCAAAACCCTACGATCACAAATCACGGCTGGCTATCCGATAGAAAAACCACCTGAATTCCGAACCACTATTGTTTTCCCAAATCATGTCACACAACATACCCCAGACGCTCCATGGAAAACGCCCCCATGGCCATCCCATTGGCCCCTGACTTCGACCACCCCAATTGGATGAGTCGCCAGTCCCAGACAGGTCGTGTCTGGGTACTCGAGCCGCCACCGGCTGAGTCTCACACCAAGACTCGTCAAATCCCACGGAGCCTTCGTTCACCATGCGCAAGGCCTGAAGGAGTGTGGAGTGCGATGCGCTGCGAATGCACAGCCTGCCCCGGTCTGCACCTCAGCACTATCTCAACTCTCATGTTGATTCATGTTGATTCACTATCAAAACGACCCTGGTTCGTCCGTCACCCCAGGGAAGCAAACGAAACATGCTGACTTCATGTTACATTGGTGGTGTCAACAGGTTGAAAAAAAAATGCCTCGGCATCTTTAGCCAAAAAATACAGAATAACAATAAACGCATCTCTGTCTTTGCGTGGCTTTCTCCATGACTCTCCTCTCTCTCTCTCTGTTTGTTGATCTTTTGGGGAGTGCCTGCCTTCTGCATGGCTTCGGGGAAGGAGCGCGCGATGGACATGACCTCGCCCACGGACTTCATCTGCGTCCCCAAGGTGCGCTCCACCGTGGGGAACTTGTCGATGTCCCAGCGCGGGATCTCGTGACGCGTGACGCTCGGAGGACGAGACGAGACGCTCGGAGGACGGGAAGTGAACGGAGGAAGTGAAGGCTGGGCAACTCACTTGGGAGACTGATCTAGCATGGTTGAACAAGGCAAAAAAAGGAAATGCCAGTAGAATCAACTGGTTCTAAACACCAACTCCTGCCCCACCCAACTTCTGGCACTCCAACTCCTGCGCCCCCCGTTTCGGTGGTCCCAGGTCAGCACCCGGCAGACGCCCTTCTGCCTTCACCACGCAGTAGTCCAGGGAGGGTTCGAAACACGCGGTGGTGCATCGCGTGACCAAATTCCTCAAGCTCACCAGGTCGTGACCTGATTCCGCGGCGGCCGGCCTTCGTGGACCTCCTGGCCTACTGGGGACTGAGTGGTGGGTGGCAGACGCAGGCTCGCGGGCTCGCGGGCTTGCGGGCTTGCGGACGCTATGACTATGCGTGGGGTCAAGGCCATGGCAGGTAGGTTGGAGGCCAGCTACGAACGTCACAGAAGTTCTGGTCTGAGTCTTAGGACGCGAAAAGCTCGGTGGAGGCTGGGTGGAGGCTGGTCATTTGGTGAAACTAAGCGCTCCCTGGTCTCGGTCTCGGTCTCGGTCTCGGTCGGTCGAAAGTGCGGTCTCCCAAGAGTTGGAACGGTGAAGCCCTCGGTCTAAGTGATAGAGGAAGGGTCGGTCGGAGCGTTCGCATGCAACAGCATGCAGCAAGTGATAGGAATGGTCTAGAACTGATCTGCTGTGCAGGTGATATGTGTTTTACAGGAGCTGACTCCTACCCTGCGATCGCAGCCAATCTTTCGGCTGATGAGGTCTTTTGCTAGGCTTCCAGCCCAAGGCAATCTTTGCGGCGACGTATGCCAAGGGGTAGCCGGTGGCCTGGCAGCACGATTGTTGTTTGAGAAAAAAAGATGAAAGTTCACAGCCCTGTGAGTCCAAGACTGTTCCAAATGTGGTCTTTAAGTGACCCGAGTTTGAGGATGTTCCTGCAAACTTCAGTCGGTCAAAAAATCCTCAATCTGGACTTCTAGGGACTGCGTTCCATGTAAGACGCAGTCCCTGTTGCTTCTTATTTTTGTTTATTAAAGCAGACTGAACCATTCACAACAGCTTTACTAAAGAAGAGCAGATGATCATCAATGCACTTGTATAATTCTCTTAATTCTCTTAGACACCTCCACCCCTCCTGATGTCAACAAACCGAAAGCTAACCAAAGCTGGGAATCCAACTACCTGGAATGAGGCTTTGATGAGAGTTACACGTGTTTTCACCAAAAGCACCACCTCTTCTTCCCAAAGTCACGGTGAGTCCCGCCCGTGTCCCGCTGTTCTCCATCCCGGCAGCACCGCCGGCAGCACTGGCAGCACGGCCGGACGTCCGGCCGCACCTTCGAGGCCAATGCACTGCTCCGCGACAGCCGAGCATTCACCTCCACGATGCGGTACCCTGGCGGGTCCGGGCGGACAGGACGGCAAGAGGTTCTGCGGACAGCCCACAACTTGGAAACATGGTATTCAGTGAATGTCCAACATCATCTTCTTGAGTCTTCTTGAGACTTCTCAGTGTCCTTCTTGCTTGGTCACAAAGACTTTGTCAATCAAAGTTAGCAATGAAACCCCGAGTCCTTTCAGTCTCAACCAACTCACTTTCGACTACAGGACCCCCAACAAAAACACACCTCACCCTGCCAGCGTTTCCGCGAGACGCGGCCAAGAACTCAAGCCGAGTCGACGCTTGGAGTTGGGATCCAAAGCATATTGAATGTTGGCTTCACCCACGATGCCAAAGTGGCGAATCACCTCAGCTTGAAAGCTTGGACGTTGGAACACGCCTTGGAACTAAGCAGATTGGACTCATGCCGAATTCGTCTGCAACACGCGTCGTCGTCTGCTGTTTAGAGAGTCTTAAGTTTAAGTGAAAAACACCCTAAAACCCTCAACAAAGCCGATCAACCTGTACCCTTGTACTATATACTTGAAGGTTGGTAAAAACATCTCCCAGTCTTCAACTCTCTGTACCCCTGGGTGGGGTCCAAGGAGACCGACCGACCGGTGGTTGACCTATAGACCGGTCCTTCGAACGGATCACCCCGTCATCCCCATCTGCAAAGCTTACGCATCACCGGCATAGAACTCCAGGGGCCTACCCTATCCATAGGCCGGGCCTAGGGCCTAGGCTACCCTATCCATAGGCCGGGCCGGACATAGGCCTGTCCTACCGTCCTGCCTAGCCGGTCCAACTGAGCTCCAAACCTTGATCGCCACCGCGCGCAGCTTGTGATACTCATCGTTGCTGAGCGTTTGGGACGGTGCCACCACAATGGATTCGCCCGTGTGAACGCCCATGGGATCCAGGTTCTCCATATTGCACACCACCAGGCAATTGTCCTTTGAGTCACGCCTGAGGCAGGTTCGTTTCTACTCCTGAAGGAGTCACCCCCGATGGCAGTGCGGATTAGCATTCGCATGCGCGCGCATCTTTTTGGTCAAAGCTCTCAGAACCTCTTCCTTGATGAAGGGAAGCAAGACTCTCAGGCCGTGGCATGACCTCATATTCCAGCTCCTTCCATCCTTTGAGGCACTCATCAATGATGACCTGCAGTCTGACATACTGTGTCTTAGACCTCCAAGACTCTTGGACTTACACTGTCGACATCTCTTGTTCTGTTTGATTCATCCAGAGTCAACATGATCCTACTAGGGGACGAGCCATCCGGCAGGGATGGCGCCTCATTTCCGCACACATAATTCCCCTCAAGTCCGCACACAGACTTTTTTATATATTTACCTCAAATGCGCACACATGATTCCCCTCATCTGCGCACACATCGATTACATTCCTCTTTAAACAGCCCATGTTACCCCAAACTCAAATGCGCACACATGATTCGCCTCATTTGCGCACACACCAATTCAGTCATGATGATCTCTTTTTGCTCATTGCTTCGTTTGATTGATGATGTGTTAATAACGTCCCTCTGGACATTCATCTACATGATGATCTCTTTTTGCTCATTGCTTCCACAGGTTCACGTCACACAGACGCTCTGCGTTTGATTGATGATTATGGTGGGGGGGGGGTGTTAATAACGTCCACGGATCTGACAGCCCCAACAGCGCATCTAAAGCGATGGACGTAAAATGAGACAACAAGGTTCAGATTGTGAAACAATCTGGTCGGGTTCCATTCATTCATTCATTCATTCAGTCATTCATTCATTCATTCATTCATTTTTTCAGCCGTGTAAGCCGCGTGTACAAACGAGGGAGCCGCGTGTACAAACGAGTTTCGCGTGCACAAACGAGATCAATTCTCCGCGTGTATATTCGAGGGAAATTCCGCTTGTACAGACGAGGCTCCGCCCTCCGGCAGGGGGGGGAACGTGGGAATGGCCACCGTTCTCACATCTGAAAATCGTTTCTCACATCTTTCTTGTCTGCCTGGGAGGAGTTCGCGAAGGCTCGTTCCAGCAAAATATCCAACTCGGCCTGCCGTTCGGACCGTTCTCACCCGGACGCCGCCGGGTTCGGTTCGCGGCCGGAAACCACCGAAGCTGCGGCGTGCACCGCGCCGTGCGCGCCGGAAGACGGAGAAATCAAGGGTCGTTGGCCCAAAGAAAGGAATCGAGTCGGAACCCAGGTACACTCCAACTCAAGTTCTATGGCATCGCAAAAGAAACTTGAGCAAAGGACAATGAAGAAAGGCCATGCCAAGGCATGCCACTTCCGTCCAACAAGAGATAACAAGAGTTGGAGTGTACAAATGTGAGTCTGTGAGGACCAGTAGATGCACAAAGAAAACCTTCATCACCTGTCCATTTTGTTTGCGACTGCGTATGAAGTTGTTTTAAAACAGGATTCTGGTGGATGGCAAAGCTGTATCGTATGGCTCCTTCTACTGGACATGAGTATTTTTTGCGGAGGAGCATTTTTGGATGTGATGAATATCACCACACGACACTGGATCGCAAACCATGGACTTTGAAGTAACTATAAACTGCATCACAAAGTCTCCACATATGCTTTTCCTTGCGGAGTCAGAACGGGTAAGTGTCCCCAAAATAGAACTATTCGATGAACCTCTTCTAAAGTGGTTGACTGTCGCTGAATACACCCCCTCAACGCAGGCTGGTCAGGCGATCTCCTGTGGGGGTCATTTCTTAACGGTCAACATGTGGAAACCCTTTATCTATCTCGCAGACCATGTTCACTCTATATAGTCACCGTTCGTTGTTGGCAAACATCTTTGCCATGGCATGAGACGAACAAACGGAGTCCTCGTTGCTCGCAAAGCCACTTCCAAGGCCGCCCAGTGCAAATGCAGCTCGCACCAGCACCTGACAGCCACATCCCAAGAAGAGCACCAGGTGACCAGGTGTTTGGGTCCCTCTTTCCGCTCACCTTAAGACTCTGAACCATATGATGGCCACACCCATCCGCCTCTGGGCGGTTGACTCTTGATTCTTGATTATTACCCTATTCCCATTTGGATAACCTCTCCATTTGGGACGCTGAAACCTCATCAACCCCCCCACTGACTCACTCAACGGACGCGCGGTCCCACTCCGAGTTCCGTGCTGGAAAGCCGATCTCCTTGGCCGCCTCGAAAGCAGCCGTGCCGCCGACGGTGTCGGCCGGAAGAGAAAAACGCAGCCAGGAGAGCCATAGATCACTGGCGCCATCTATGTGTGCTGTACTCAGCAGTCTAGGCAGTGGAAAAATCATGAAACATCTACAGCAGCAGACTGTGCATGTTGTTGACAATCCAAGGAAGAACCTCCGTCATCAATCACCCAAGATCCCCCAGCAGGAACTAGACCAAGGCGTTTTACTAATCAACAGTCAGCATCTTATAGAACTAATCGCATCCTCAACTGCTAGAAATCTTGCAGATTCTCTCCTTCGATCCCTTTTGGGGTCTCCCAAAACATAGCAGCCGTGCGATCCCTCCTTCTTTGCTTCTTCCATGGTGTTGGCGCAGGCCGAGAGGGCACACTGCTCGCCAATGCTTTCGACGCCCGCCTGGGCCGATCCAAGTGGCACTTGTTGTCGCAGCAGCGACACGACCGGTGAAACGGTCCTCGTTCCTCTCGTTCCTGGACCGATGGACCGATGGACAGGACGCTGCAAAGGCGGAGTGGTTCGGGAGACCAACCGATGGCCTTGAAGCCCGCGACGCTGCAAAACCGATGGCCTTGAAGACGTCGCGGTCCTCCGTGGCAATGATGGAATCGATCTGCGTGCCGAGGACCTGGCAACAAAGAACAAGCTTTTGTTGTCCCACGTGGCCGATTTGGCTGCACCCAACATCGGTGTCGAACAAAACAGACCAGAACCGTCTGCTTTGCGAGATGGCTGCGTAGAAAAGATCAAAAGACTCCCCTGTGACCTTCCGGGAATAACCTAAAAAGATATGGGAAGAAAAACCTTGTGTTGTGTTTGGTATATCAAGTAGGCCCAGGATTCAGGCGATGAAATTACATGGAATTCATGGTGGGCCAGGAAGACTGTTTAGGACGGTTGATGATTTATAACATTTTAATCATTTTATAACTTATGACTGGTTGTCATTCAGAAAAGTAGGATGTCTGGGGGGTAGCACATACAAGGACATCTCCCACTTGCAAGGGGTACTGAATTGTCTACCTCTTTTCAACCAAGCTTCCTGGGTTCAGAGCCAATGCCATAAAGCTTGAAGGCTTCAAGCCATGTAGTACCACCCCATCAACCCACTGATAAATGTCACGATCGCAGGTCTTTCTCCACGATCTCTTCAGATTATACGATACTGAGCACCACGGCAAGCGCATTCGCACACAGCATCACGCCGCGCTGCGTAAATAAAACGAACCGCTGACTTCGGAAAACCTGTACGCGGCCTTCACGCCGTACTTCTTCAGCGTCCCATTCTTGTGAAGTTGAACAGCACAGTTCAGTGCCGTCTGTCCACCTCGACTCGAGCAAGCTCGGTTTTCTGCTCGGTGGTTGTGCTGGCCACAAAGGCTCAGAGTCTACTCAAGAGGCTCGTTTGGAGCACAAAGAAGAACACGTCTGGCAGCCCTGGTGATGACTTCTTGAGGCAAGATGATACGTTTGCAGAAGATATGTTTTTCAGCTGGTGAAAAGGCCCTCATCCACCTGCCAGTAATACAAGCGATTTTCCAGATTTGAGAAGCTGTTGATCAAGTCCCAGATATCTTACACCTTGTCAGAAGACTCATCTTGTCTCCAATCCAGATGTCTTCTCAATCGCATGGATAGATATGAAATATATAGAATAGATATGGAATGATATGGATATGGATAGTCCCACATGGGTCAGATCCCAATGATCCAAAAATCCTAGCAATTGGACCACGAGACTGCAAAATGATCCAATATATGACCCAAATTTGCCTCCATCATCATCCGTCTTTCCATCATCCCTGGGTCCCTGTTATCTCTTTCCCTTCACATGTAGATATCCACCTGTCCACCTGCCTGCTGACACCCTCTTCGCTTCGAAAAAAAAACCACTTCGCTCACACGGAGGCTCCGGCTTTCCCCCTCGCTCCCGCGTTCTCCGCTCCGCTCCGGCCCCGCTCCGGCCCCGGTCGGACGCGGCACCGAAGGCCGCGAAGAGCCCGTCCGGTCGGGTCTTTTCGATGACCTTGGAGTCGGTCCGGTCGGGTCCGGTCCGGTCCGGTCCGGTCCGGTCGCAGAGACAGCCGAGTAGAGAGCGCTGGGCAAGCGGATTTTGGGGGGTTTGTTTGGGTGAGGGACGAAAGCAGTGTTTGTTTGGTGGGGCAAGGGGGGAGGACAATGTCCTCTCCTTCAACCGCCATCTCCAAGTGAGTTTGAAGGGAAAATGGCATGAGAGGTGTGGGAGATCAGTTGCGGTCCTTGGTGCTTTTGACAGCTGTTTCCGGAAGCCGTGCCTTCGTGACGAACTCCGGTGTGACAGGCACGAAGAAGATCTGATCAGCCAGACCCTTTGATGTCTGCACTGTGGCGATGTTTGGGTTGATCCTGGCAGAGAAAGCACAAAAGAGTTCCACGGTCCGATTGATTTTTTCACGACTGAGGCGGGATCAAAAAGCAGGCGGCCAAGGAAAAAAGACTGATGTTTACATCTGTTGAACAAATACTCTTGCTTCTGTGATGTATAACGGAACGCATTGTTGTGAATATTCGAGGGTGAAACTTCATTCGTTCAAAAGCATGCCAAGGATTGCAGAATGGACTGCACTTGCTGCTCCCGCAAAGCCTTCAGCAGGCAACAGCAGGCTGCGGTTTCTGCTGGAGATTCACTACACTTGTGAGATCTTGTGAGGCTTCGGCGCTGGTCTTGGCTCACATCCAAGTGAAATGGGAGTCTGACTGTCGATGTAAGCCGCATTGTCCCTGTTTGCGTGCAAGGATGTACGATAGTTGTTTTCAGTCCAACTCCCACATGGTTATATCTTTCACTTTCATGATCTTTCTGTCAATGCTCTATCGCTTTGAGACGCTTCAAACCTCCATCTCAATCCCAAACCACTGCCTACTTGGGAAGACCGGCCCAGTGGGCTCTCCCTGCCGCTTCGGACGTAGCCCACCACGCGGACGCGCAGGGCCAACCGAACCAAACGGGCCTTGATGGCTTGGCTGCCCGAGTAGTCGAACTCTCCCGCTTGTCCAATCGTCAGGCCACCCGATCCCAGCACCAGGACCTCATGCGGCTCCGATGGCGAGAGTTAGCAGGATCGATGCAGCGGATGGATGGACGTGGGTGATGGACGTGGGTGATGGACGTGGGTGATGGACG